GCAACCCATGAATTAGATAGAGGGATATACTCCATGGTCAAGATTTTCAAAAGCGACTACTGATTTTGAGTGCATCAGCCTTTGGGTACCCACCTTGAGCCACCTCAAAGGGGCCTGATCTCAGAAAGTGCTGAGCACCTGCCTTCTGAAAATCAGGCCTTTTTGTTGTGGCCCAAAATGAACACCCCAAATCACTAGTCACTTGAAATTCTTGGCCTTCTTGGCCTTCAAGTCTGTAGAAAACTTCCTAATTAAAACAGTATTTCCATACAAGCAAGGGAGCGCTCTGCATGTCACTGATCTCTGTCGTACATGAACCTGTTGTTTTGTTAGTTATATTATTGTTAATTATTTTCAATAAGAAATCCCAAGACAGGAAACTCAAATCATAGAAAATATAATGTATGATCAAGAAATTAATTTAACATAAGCGGGGGTGTGGGAGGAAGGACCAAAACGCCCCGGTGTTTTTTTCAAAGCTGTACCAAACACACAGAGTTCAATCTCTATGGATACAAAAACCAGCCTTTTCATAGTTATTTTTTGTGCTGTCATCATTTATAAGTCATGCAGCAGGAAGAAGAGGATCCTGATTTGATATTGTGGGGAACATTTTCCTCATGGTTTCCAGGGTTGCTGGGGGGGGAAATCACAGCTATTAGAGTCAAATTCTGTTCCCAATTACTCCAGGGTAACTCCATTAAAACAGTGGATTTGCTCTATGTCTACGTGCTGTACGTGAGGGTAAAACTTGACCCGGTAGGTGGAAAGTGACTCAGAGGTTGTAAATTATGACTCAAGGGTATTTTTCCTCCCCCTAAAGATTTTATTTTCAGGTTCCCTCTCACTCTTGTGTCTGCATTTTGAAAGCTCAGCACACTCTTCTGCTTGTAGGGAACCTTGTACCTCTCTGTATGTTGGTCAATGTATGATCAGCTTTTTAAGTGATATGAAGGGCACTTTTTTACTGATGATTGGACATCTCAACCACGTGGTATCCCATCCACCTATTCAAAATGCAGTTTTCTGCCAGGATTAAAGCTTAAACTAACTTCATGTTAAGGGAAACTCTCATAATGAAGTGTTCCATTTACTTCATCATACTGCTAAGTACTGTGCTGCACAGTGTCAGGCAAACTGCATGGCACATGTATACCACAGTGAAGGAAAGGAAAGGAATTATTACACTGATTTATGCAGTGCACATTGCCATAGTGTCTGGGACACCAGATAAGGAGTTGCTGGCTGCATTGGGAATGTGGGGTCAGGGTCTAATATTCTGCATGTAAAGCAAGGTTAGTAACCACTATGCTACTTAGCTACCTGCCTAAATCCTGTTCTATTCTAAATTAACTAATCTACCTCACATGGTACATGGTGGGTGTTTTGGGGAGGGAGGGCAGTAGGTTTGTGAAAAGAGGCAAAATCTCATTCTGCTTAAGAATCATAGAATATCAGGGTTGGAAGGGACCTCAGGAGGTCATCTAGTCCAACCCCCTGCTCAAAGCAGGACCAATTGCCAGACAGATTTTTACCCCAGTTCCCTAAATAGCCCCCTCAAGGATTGAGCTTACAATGCTGGGTTTAGCAGGCCAATGTTCAAACCACTGAGCTATTCCTCCCCCCAAAGAGAGTCTGATGACTAGCTATAGGCCTGATCCAACACCCCTTAGAAGTCAGTGGAAGGACTCTGACATTAGTGAGGGTTGGATTAGGCCCAATAATGTCAGTCAATGGGTGTCAGTGTATTTAGAGTCCATTCTGATTTGGAGCCTGTAAAGTACAGGTGAAGCCCTTGAGGAAATACAGGTAATGACATTATCCCGGCTATACTAGCATTTGCTGTAAACAAAATGAAAGGGCATTATTTTCTCTGCCAGAGCCCTTACTGGGGGCCAGCAAAAAGTTAGTAGCAGATGGAATAGTAAATTATTATGTGTTTGACTACAAAGGAAACTCAAACCTTTTCTTGCAGGATGCGCCCAGTTCACAGCTGCCATCCGCTTCAATTTAGCACATCTCCAAACCTGCAATTAACTCTCTTGAGCGTTTCACTTTGTGGAAAAGGAGCAAACGCAGACAATGCCATAAGGAGTGCACATGGAAGAACAAGCAGGCAAATCCAGCATGGAAAACAAGGTAAATGATCCCTTTAACCATTCTTTCTTTTGTTAAGCTAGTCCCCAGCAATCCAATCATGGCATTAAACCCTTCCTTTAAAAGAACTGTGATAATAACTTTTTGCAGTGGTTCCAGGGAACTAGGCACTGACACGCTCTTTCATCTTAAGTCTACTTGAACGACAGCATTCCTCTGATTTATTAAGCAATAAAGGTTCATTTATGTGATATCAGGTAAATTTTTTCATGAAGGTCTGGCATATCACTCAACCTCCTCCCCGATAGTCACCTCCATTCCACTCTATGTGAAACACAGCTGCTAAGACCCTCTTCCTTGGCCATTACTCTGACCTCATCCCTGGTTTCCCACTTTCTGCTGCATCAAAGTCAAGTTTTGTATCCTCAGCTTCAAGACCCTTCCTGACTTTTCCCTTCCCTACTTCTCTGCTCTTGTCTCTTTATCATGGCGCCCGCTCCCTACTATAGCAATAATGCCAGCTTCAATCCCCTGATTACCAACTTCTCCCACAACCATCTTGGAACTTTCTTCTGTGCTGCCTGTGCATAGAACATCCTCCCTGAACTAGTGCATAAGGCCTTCCTTTTCTCCCTTTGACTCCCTCCTCAACACCAATTTCTACCCCAGTGCCTATGTGAAATTTACCATCTAACAATGGCTAGGTAGAAGGCCAATTAGGGTAGTTGAGTGTGAAAATTTTGAAAGGCACTTACCGGAGTTAGGTGCCCAATTCCCAATGAAATTCACTGGGTATGTTTGAAAATTTTACCCTGAAAAATCCATTTTAAAAAATTTCCCCCCCAGCCTTTATATGCTGCTTGTCTTTGTGAGTTCTTTTGGAGCAGGGACTGTCTTTTTATTATGTGCACATACAGCATCTAGCACAGTCAGGCCTTTCTCCTTAGTTTGGGGATTGTAGGTGCTCCCACAATCAAAATAATATAATATAACTTCCAACCACTGTGTATTTAGATAGTTTTAAGCTGCCCATCACCATTTTATCTGGTTGCATTTGACTAGTCATCAAAATGGTATTCATTCTTAGCTGGGCAAGATCCCAATCTGTGGGCAATAAAAAAAAAATGTGCTAAGGAGGAGAAACTTAACTGTGTTGGATTTGGCAGTTGTGTGCATGACTGGGGCATTATGGAAAGGCAAAAAGCAGAAATAGTACAGAGACATCAATAGTAGTGAACATGCTAAGGAGACAAGTGGTTCTAGTGCTGAATTGGGAGCTGGCAAAGTTCTTTCCCTATCCTATTTCAACAATTATGGCTCCATCACTGTTGTACTAAACTTCTCACGGTGATGGAGATAGCTCTTAACTGTTACAAGCATTTCTGCCAGATAGGCAAAGTAAGATTGTTCCTATGATCATCTCCTATGAAAAGTGGCTGCTGAGCAATGCTGTCTGAACATGTAGTGGATAACTAATGTGAAGGGTTTTTACAATGTTAATGAATAATTTGGATGGTTATCTACTTTTAATTTGTATTAAACATCTGTAGTTTAATTATTTTTATGTTTATTGATAAGTGATGGAGGGAGCTTTAAATACTGAAAATTATGCCTTTAAAAGGGTGTTCAAAACACAAAAGCAAATAATTATGATAATTAGGAAATGTCATTTATTTGATAAAATTTAACCCCCAAAATGATCTGCCAGTTATAAAATTCATATGTCTATTAGTAGCCTGCTAGCTGTCAAGGGAAGGAGAAAACTTGGGGGATAGTGAGAGAGCTTTTTTACAGAATCATTATCCATTTGAATTATGTGGTGTTGCTTCTGTAGCATGCAAGTTCTACATATTCAATTGACAGTTTTCAGAGTAGCAGCCGTGTTAGTCTGTATCCGCAAAAAGAACAGGTTTCAGAGTAGCAGCCGTGTTAGTCTGTATCCGCAAAAAGAAGAACAGGAGGACTTGTGGCACCTTAGAGACTAACAAATTTATTAGAGCATAAGCTTTCGTGGAAGAAGTGGGCTGTAGTCCATGAAAGCTTATGCTCTAATAAATTTGTTAGTCTCTAAGGTGCCACAAGTACTCCTGTTCTTATATTCAATTGAATAGTTCAGGGATCCTTAAGGGAGAGACTGGAGTCTAACTCTTGTCCATAATATTTGGGGAAGCATTCTTGACCCTGGCTTATTGATATTAGTGACAGGCAAACCTCACAATGCTCTGAGGCTTTATATGACCCCTATAAGTACTGACAACTTTGGAATCAGATTTTTTGGAAATTTAGTTCCTGCTGCCCCCCAGTTTGGGTGTACATTTGGCTCTCTTCTTACACTGGCAAGAGTCAAAAAGAAAACCAATTGTCACCTTTTCAAAATGTTTTCTTGAAAATAAATAATAACCTGAAACAATCCACAAATGTTAGAGGACAAGTATCGGTAATAACAGAATAATGTTAATCAGCCTCAGCATAGCTGCGTAGATTTGTGTAATGTTCTCTTGTAGTAAATAAGTGCAGAAGGGGTTAATATCTGCCCAAATTTAACAGAAAACGGAGCTGTGTAATTTATACAGATCATGCCATCCATTTGTGGGGAAAATATCTTTCCAGTAGTTGGCAGACGGCATGGCTAGAAACACCCACCAACAAGGGTGGGAAAAAATGAGGATGCTATTAGATATTGCCTCACATATAGCATTATCTCCCCTCATAGACTCATAGACTTATAGACTTTAAGGTCAGAAGGGACCATTATGACCAGATGATCATAATGGTCCCTTCTGACCTTAAAGTCTATAAGTCTATGAGTCTATGAGGGGAGATAATGCTATATGTGAGGCAATATCTACAGTTCAGGACAACGGTGTATAAAAATGTGCAGTAAGCTTTACTGAGCCACTTACCATCCGAGATGAGAGCCAGATGACCTGCTCCTCCCACACTCATGCAATTCACTGGTAACTCTTGTATGTCGAGGCATGCCCTGAAAAGTTTATTTATGCATCAATTTTCTGTTTCATATTCCATGCTTTGCAATGTTATATGGCTTTTCCAGGTTACTATGGCCCATTGACATGTCTAGCCATTCAGATAATTCAATAACAAAATTCTGACTTAAGGTTTCTAATGCTTTAACTCAATGGCATCTGGCTTATACGCATAATGAGGTTTAGTGTTTATACTGGTGGCTTTTCCATTTAAAAGTCAGAGGAAATCTACAGGTCTCATTCTAATATTGTGCTGGGTGGGAGAAGACTAAGAGAAAAGCTGGAACATTTAAGCCTTTATATCTCCTTTCAGCAAAAAGGTAAATAAATGAGAGTTAAAAAGGATAAAATGTCTCAAAAGCAGCAGATGTGAGTAGCTTCTCATCAATCCTATCTTCCACCCCCATCCACCTTCCCTTTGCAAAATCCAAAGGAAGCCTTGCCACATGATAGTGGGGCTGGAAGAAGTCATGTTAGGGCGCATTGTCCATTCATTGCAGACAGTTGGGGGAGGGGGCATGATGTCCAGGCATAGTAGGGACAGAAAGTGGCAGCATGTCTTCTTAGACAACTCTGTCACTGGGTGTAAGGGAATCTGAAAAACAGAATGGAAAGGCTTCCTTAAGTAGGGTGACCAGACAGCAAGTGTGAAAAATCGGGACCGGGGTGGGGGGTAATAGGCACCTCTATAAGACAAAGCCCCAAATATCGGGACTGTTCCTATAAAATCGGGACATCTGGTCACCCTATCCTTAAGCATGGTTCAGAATTTGCACAGAAGCATGTGCTTTTAGGAACATAAGATGTAAACCAGAAGTGAGCCCTGCGGAGGCTGAGTCCAGCCTTCTACCATCACAAGCAACCCCCTCATACAATTGCACCAAAATATTGTCCAGCGCAGGGGCATAGACACAGGTGTGCCTGGGTGGGCCACAGCCACACTTAGTGTCCAGGCCCACCGAAATAGGGCCTGGAGCCCCCTGAATCCACAGGCTGGGAGGGGGTGAGTCATTCCAGGAGGGGGAGGTGCCAGGGGGCGGGTCTGGGTGGAGCTAGTGCTGGGGCTGGAGATTGGGGCAGCAGCATGTGGCACTGGCAGGAGCGGGACACAGCCAGCCAGGCGGACGGACACCAAGCCAAAGTCAGCCGAAGCTCAAGCCCCAGAGGGGTCCCCCTGTCCCCCATGGTGCGCCCCGCAGCCTATATGCCCTGGGCAACCTCATCTTCTGGTGCCTATTGAGCAGAAAGGGCCGGCTGGAGGGGCTGGGGAGAGGTGCCCCCTTGTCATTGCCTGCCCGCCCACCTGAAAGTCGAGGCCCAGCCAGTTTTCCTGTTCTGGCTATGCCACTGGTCCAGCTCTCTCTTCAAACTAATTAAATACTGTAGTTTGCCCTGACAACTCCTGTTGGGAGGCTGTTCCAGAACCTCACCCCTCTTATAGTTAAAAACCTTCCAATTTCCAGCCTGAGTTTGTTCATGGCCAGTTTATATCCACTTGTTCTTGGTGCTGACACTGTCCATTAGCTTAAGTAGCACTTCACCCTCTGTTATTTACCCTCCTGATGTATTTATAGACAGCTATCACATCCCATCCCATCCCAGCCTTCTTTTTGCTAGACTAAACAAGCCAAGCTCTTCCAGTCTCCTCTCATAGGATAGGCCCTCCATTCCCCTGAACATGCTCTTCTCTGTACTTGCTCCAGTTTACATTAATCTTTCTTCAATCTGGGTGATCAGAGTTGAACACAGTATTCCAAATAGGGTCTTACTAATGTCTTGTACAATTACATTGATACTTCTCTATCTCTACTGGAAATGCCTCGCCTGATACATCCTAAAATCACATTTGCCTTTTTTACAGACACATCACACTGGTGGCTCATAATCATCCTATAATGGACCCACACACCCAGGTTTCTCTCCTCCTCTGTCACTTCCAACTGATGAGCACCCAGCTTGTAGCAGAAATTCTTATGATTAGACCCTAAATGGATGACTTTGCACTTTGTACTATTGAATTTCATCCCATTTCTATCACACCCCAGTCTTCAAGGTCTTCCTGTGTAATATTCCGATCCTCCTCTGCACTGACAATGCCTCCCAACTTTGTATCATCAGCACATTTCACTAGCCCACTCCTGCTTTTTGTGCCAAGGTTATTAATAAAAATATTGAATAAAATTAGTCCCAAGACAGTCCTTGAGGAACTCCATGGGTAACCTCTCTCCAGTCCGATAATTCATCTTTCAGCACAACTCATTGCCTTCCCCCTCCCGTTAACCAGTTCCTTCTCCATCTTACAATTTTTGTACTGATCCCCATCTTCTCTAGTGTAACTAATAATTTCCCACGTGTCATATGCTTTACTGAAATCCACATCTATTAGAGCTACTGCATTTCTCTTATCTAAAAAATCAGTTATTTTCTTAAAGAAGGAAATTAAGTTAGTTTGGCATGATCTACTTTTGGTAAGCCCATGGCACATTACATCCCCTTTACCATTTACCTCTATGGATTTAATTGTTCTTTCCTTCACAATGTGGTCTAAAGCCTTGCAAAATGCTGAGGTCAGACTAACAAGTCTGTAATTGCCTGGATCACTTTTCCACCCTTTTTTAAACATGGGTCCAATGTTAGTTATTCTCCAGTCATATGGTACTACCCCCAAATAGGTAGATTATTTAAAAAATCCTTGCTACTGGATTAGCAATCTCATGTGCTACTTCTTTCAGTTTTCTGGGATGGAAATGATCTGGTCCCTCCAAACTGAGAGCATTAAACTCTTTAAGATTTTCTTCTACCTCAGATGTGGCAACTTCCATTTCTAGACACGCATTTCTATCAACCATACTGCCTTCATGCACATGGTCCATATTGATCAACCTTATTGAAAACCGAGGCACAATATTTATTTAGTTTTGGGCCATACCTGGATTACCTTTAAACTCATCCATGCCACATACCAGTCCAACCTTACCCTTCCTTATTCTCTTTTTATTTATATAACTTTAAAAAACCCTCCTATTTATTTAATTTCCTTTGCAAGAGCTAATTCAGCTTGACTTTTAGCAGTTCTCACTTTAGTCCTATGTTTTCTAACCTCCACGGTGTAGTTTCCTTTTCTGATGACCTTTTTGAGGTGGTTATTCATGCGGCTTGGTCTGAAGCCTTTCCCTACTTATTTATACTTCTCTGTGTTGAGCCAAACCTTACTGAGGGTTGCCCATGACTAGTTAGCACACCAAGTATCACACATCTGAGAGCATGGGCCCTTGCTTTTCACTGTAGCAACAGGATGTGTCTAATACGCAGACTATACCCAAGGGCCCAATAAGTGCTACTGCATTAGATGTATGCTGTGTGTCTGGAAGACCTCAAGGGATTAAAGTGATTCTAAATTGAAAGGAGGGTGAAAACTGAGAGCCTGGTGTCACTGGAGAAAAGAAACCCTTTTGTTTATGTACAACTGGTCACTTGTAGGGCAGATGGAAAAAATGTGGGCCTCCCTACATTGTTGTGTCAAACCTCAAACTGGAAACCTGACCTTAAGACTCCTCCTGAGACAGGCCAGTGTAATCCCCAAATCATTCTGCCTTGGGTATCTCAGCAGCCTATGGCTTTCTGCAGCTGGGTGATGATTTGCCATTGGTTACGATGCTCTTCAAGGAAACAAATAGTTTCAACATAGAGATTGGGCACTCTAAGGCTGCGTCTACACGGGGATAAAAAACCCACAGCTGGCTCAGGTCATCTTTCAGGGCTCTGGCTCCAGGCTGAAAATTGCTGTGTAGATGTTCGGGCCCCACAAGCCTGAGTTAGCTGACCCAGGACAGGGTTTTTTTTTTCCTTGTGTATATGTACCCTAAGAGAAAAATACTGTTGATGTGGGCATTTTCACATATTCACATAATTTGTCTAATGAGGTCATGTTCCTAATTTAGCCATTGAATGAAATTCTCAAAGCAAATAGGATTTGCCCTTAAAAATCTCAACTGTTAGTATCAGAGGGGTAGCCGTGTTAGTCTGGATCTGTAAAAAGCAACAGAGAGTCCTGTGGCACCTTTAAGACTAATAGATGTATTGGAGCATAAGCTTTCGTGGGGGGGAGGGCCCCTTGTCTGATGGCGCCACCGAAGAGGGGGTTTGACCCCCCCAAACTCATTTTCCACAAAAACATTTATTTTTAATGT